ATTGAAGGGTATTCCGGAACTTGACTATAWCAACTATTTCGAGGATTGCAGAAAATGTAGGCACTAATTTATTGGGCACAAAATATATTAAGAATATTGTCGCTGCTCATAAAGATTTGTGGATTTTGGCTTATTCTCTGAATCAAAAGTTTTATTTTGAACTTGCTKCTTCGAACATATACGTCTAACTTAAAATAAGATTATTTGAACTTAACAGAGTTCTAAACAGTGTTTTTGTTTTATTATCCATTTACTTGTTAGTTATCAARCAGCGGTGAAAACAACAAAAAACAGCATGCAAAAACACCTTCGATACTTTTTGTGGGCCTCACAAAATTTAATTATAACAACGTGGGCACATATACTGGAGGGTAACCAGAGTTTTCGGAGGCAAAATGTCTAAGTGTGTCCAACTCATATGATAAGCACTATTCACGACATAACCTAGGACAAAATGAATACGATAACGACAACAACAACATTGCTTGCAAAGCGCCAAGCGAAGACTGAATGAAGCAACCATGGAGACTTAACCACATACTGTTCTAACAAGCATGTAGCAAGTAACACATACGCAAACACACACACACACAACGACATGCACACACACCGACATACGTATTACATTTGCAGAATAATTCATAATAATATTTGAAACATTTAATAATGTTGCTAACCCATTATTTTACGATGCTCTCCCAAGCAAGAGCAGCAGCAGCAGAGCAACGAAAAACAATAGCAAAAACAATATAAAGACACAAATACACATACATATGTTACATGCTCATAATATACATATACTTTCATATTAAAATATAAACAAGCACCCACAACTTTTGTACGGCTACACACACACACCAGCACACATGTGTGGCAGTTCATTGCTGGATATTCCCCAAATTCGGTTGCCTTCAAACGTTGCTGCGTGGCTGCCTCGCCTGCCGTTCGTCGAGTTGTTATATTAAGTTGTAGAATTTTGTTGCTGCTGCAACATGCTTAGAATTTTGTGGCTATGCTTGCGGTTGGTTGTCCGCTGCTGCTGATATTGTTGCCCGCCGTTGTTGTTGCTATTCACATGATCCTCGTAAAATTTCCARCCATATTTTCAATTTGTTATTGTGGTGTGAGTGCGTTTTGGCGATGTGGCAAGCACCAAACGAGGACATTTGTATGTATGTGAGCAGCAACAATCAGCAGTACAACAATAACAGTTGCATAGCAATGCTCCTTTACTTGCTTGCTTSTTGTCATTGCTACAGATGAGCAGCAATAAATTATCTTGGGCCAAAAATTTAATATGTACGCGTATATGGACTATATGTGGGCGGTAGCAACACACACATGCGCATGGGCACATACATACATATATATTCAAAGGGCTGTATTTAATAATTCTGGAAGTGTAATGCAATGTACTAATGTCTACATTAAAAAATTATATTCACACAAAAGCAAATAGCGGGTTTAACCCCTTGACGTACATATTTCCACGACTCTGACTCATGGTACCATTTCTGTGCCTAACTTGATTATCACGAGTCTGGCTCGTGGTGCGTGGAAGTGTACATTTGATGAAAAAAGAGAATTGAAATTTTCCCGTTATTTTCAGCTAATAATGTAAACAAAAAATATTGTTGCAGTTGAGTGCGTTATATACTGTGTATRTAGTCCATATTTTTTGTTAAGCATTCAAATTAAATCGAAGTGTTTTATTTTTTGTAAATTTGTAAAACAAGCATGCGACAGTTCGTAAGCATCAAAACTGGTTTGYTTAGTGCAAGTTGGGAGCGAATTTCGTTGCGCTAATTGATACGTCAAGGGGTTAAATGTGGCAGGTTGTACAAGGTGGCACAAAAGCAACTTTTTTTAAGTTTCTAAAAAATAAATTTAATAAATTTAACAAATTAAACATTTTTGCGCCAAACACCCTATTTTACTTAACGGTAGAGTTGTCATTTGTGGCCGGATAACCGGATTTTTTCCATATTTTGAGTTTTTGTGGTTAACATTAATATTGCAGTATCTAATATATATGTATAATAGTGGTCACGCAGATATCCGAAAACATTTAAAAATTAAATAACCGCTTATACAATTTGCGATGATATGGTGGGTCACGGTATCGAAAAAGTGCCGTAAGAAGCCCGTGGAACAAATACAAGAGGCCTGCAAGCTGAAAATTACGTCAACAAAAACCCTGGACATTATCCTCAACATCCAGCCAATACATATACCAGCAAGTGGAGCCAGACTCAGGCATAATATCATAATGCAGTACAACAGATAATCTGGGGGGTGAAAAATTCCAAGTCAGGGTGTTGGTACTAGGTCAGTATAGAACAACTACTATGTTTCTGTCGCAAGGATGTTAAGAGCATTCACGGAAATTGTTTTTTTTTTTTTGTTTGCCATACTGTTAGAAGTAAGCAAAAAACATCAAGATAAGGAAAAACGGGGTCATAAGGTCATAAACAAACTGACACATACGAACGCCAAACCCTTTCGAGGGTTTTACTATACTGACCTCCTAGTACCATCACCCTGACTTGKAATTTCTCACCCCCCAGACAATAATCCCAAAAATRTTCCACAGTGTAATCGACATTATTAATGAATCGAACTAAATTTAAGGCAAATACTGAACTAAATCACTACAATTGATTCTTTCAGGCCGACATTGTGAACATAACAGTAATACTTGATACCTTCTGCAAGTACATACATATATCTTCTAGATTATGCAAGCCGGCAATAACTAGACTCTCAGTAGRTAACTCGTTTAATATCATGTAGATACCCAATCATATAAGAATAGTGGAAAACGAAAAGGCAGACGCGCCGACCTGTTCGGATACAGCCGAAAGCACAATTCCCCTAACATTCAGCTCTTTCAAGTTGTCTGCAGCAATGAACCCTAGAGCAATACCTCAGGTGTCGGACACTAGTAGCACGGTTCATACTTTAGGGTAGTGTTAATGGTGGGCAGACCATAAAATTCCTACTTCTCGACAAGAAAACTTGGTAATACGGTGGGAGTCATCACAGAGCACCTACCCTCAAGATCTCAGCTTCAGAAAATAGGAAAAGTGGATATAAATTGCACAAATCCGAATTTATTACTACTTCAAATTTCTTTAATTTCTTTCTTTAAGCTGAACAATAAAAATGTGGTATGTATCTACTTGTTATTGTTATGCGACTTATTTTGCTGCTAAAAAATACCGCTTATTTTCTATTAAATTTTGTACGCGGCAAYTTTATTGCGTCTAGTGTTGATTTGAAGTGGACAYATAAGTAGCACATTTCTAAATTCGCCGTTTTTTTTTAGAATTTTGTGTGAAGTTCTCGCGTGTTTTTAATTTAATGTTGAGAATCAATAATTATTCCGGCGATATTTCATAAAACTGGGAAGGAGGAAACACTGCATGCCGGAAAAGACAGTGCTTATGAGCGATATGAGCAAAAAGGGAAAAAGCTCCTGCCGAAATTGCTGAAATAATGCACATKCTCTCGAAAAATGGTATACGTATAATGCAACAAAAAATACCCATCTTGTGACAACAAAAATATACCAAGAAACCCAAGACCACGTAAAAACGATATCAGTGTTGACAAAACCATCKTACGGAAGAGCAAAACCCTTCTTTTAAGCCAGCCAGAGAAATTATCTTCGATGTTAATGACAAATATGGTGTAGTCGTATCCAGAAGGTTTGTAGGAAGACGGCTCAACGAAGCTCAACTTTTTGAACGAATTATTAGGATGAAACCACTCTTGTCAAAACGAAATTCGAATAGCATTTTAAAAGGCTCGCAGAGACCAGTAGGTGCTTTGGAGCAACGAAACCAAGATAAATAAGATGGGTGTAGATGGAAAACTATATTATATATGCAACATACCAAAAAAAAATAAATAAAAAAAAAATT